AATCTACAAACATTCTAAAACCTATAAAAATTTATTTCCCCAATAGTGAAATCAACGTTCCCAAAAATGAAGAAAAAAAAAATTCAAACTCCAATGCTCGAGCTGTTTCCCAAAGCGGTATCCGTTGGTTCGGTAATTCGTCCATTTCCACCACAACATCAATATCTGAGGTTGGTAAAAAGAGACCCGTATATAGGCTACCAAATACACCAATCCTTGCTGCCGGCCATATCCGCTGTAGTACAGCGCGAACTCGTTCGAAAACCCGAAAACGCAGCGCTTTCTCCAGAGAATTTGGTTTTAGCCATGAATACAAATCACTGATTTCATCGTGTAACCTACAAATGCTCTTTTTTTTTTAAATATGAATTCCTACAAAAAAAAAGGAAAAACCCTACATCCAGACAATTTGATAAAGGTTCCATGGAGAGCTGATGCAAGTTTTCATAATTAATTTCAATGTACTAGTGCGCTTTACTATGTTAAGCGCCCAAAATTTAAACATTTTCCATTTGTACAAATAAAATATTATGGTTTAATTTACGGTAACTAAAAAATTATAATAATAAAAAGAACGAGAAACTGAACAATGGAACACTGAATTGGAATGTTTCGGCTCACATACTGAGACCCATCGCGTAAGACTAGACCTAAAAGCATCTGATTGGGATGCGCAGATCAATTATCCCATATTATTTCATAATAGCAAAGTTATAATACAATATAGTGATAAAATACAAAAAGGCAAAAGGGCAGGGAAACGACAAAATACGGGGAAAAGGAGCAAAAAATGAAGCTCCCCAGAACAGAGAGGTGCACCGCTGACGAAGTAAAACTGAAGCGATGCAATTATGTGTATGACAAAATAATGGAAGATATATGCCCGGCCAACCAAAGGTTATACAGTTCCTTATATACAGGGTCAACAAAGGTCACAGAACTGCATCATTCTAACGGGAGCTGGCTGCCCAAAGGTTAATTCGAGTCACAGAAGGATCCGCAAAGGGTCCCTGGGTAAGGAATGGGGCTTCTGGTGCGGCGACAACCGGGGGGAGAAGGAACCAGGACTCCTGGGTGAGGGAGAGATGGAGGGTGCCGAAAAGAGTTTTGTTTGGTTTTAGCTTTAAACACGGACTTTTGTAGCACTAGTGCCCGTGCCGTTGAGAGAAAAGTGGGGGGAGTGGGGGCAAAGATCGATCGTCCCCTCTCTCCCCGGATTCGCCTATGATTCCAGAGTTGCAGCTAACAAGAGTTAGCTGAAATAAGAAATCGGCGGCAGAACATCACGAAACACTCAAGTTGTGGGACACTACAAAAAA